CAAGCAAACAAGGATGACAAAGATCTGGGTCGCCATCATTCTAGCCGGGAGCATATGGAAAGTGCTTAAGATTTATAAATAAACAAATATATTTCACTGTCCCAGGGGTTTTGCTAAAAATTTTAGTGCATTACATATTTATTTTTCTGCTATATCGGTTTTGCGTTCGATATCCTCACAGTACCGGTGATGCGTTACTAAGGTAATTTATCGTGAGTCAGAAAGATTTTCGATCGTAGAAATAAATTGGTCAGGTTGAAAGTGAGAAAATAATAAATAAATAAATAATAAATTTTGTAACTAATAGACTAAAAGTTGTATATTTTTTGCATATTTTGTATATATTGTATATACTGCATCTCATAATGATTAAACATATAATTTTAATTAAATAAAGTTTCCATACATAAACAAAAATAAAGAAATTCGAGCAGTTATCGTCAGATCAATAGGAATAAACAAACAAAAAGGACAAAGCAACATAAAAGAAAAAAAATAGCAGCAGTAGAGTAGCAGTGTTCATGATGACGTGCATTAAAGTAATTTGCATACTACTGATGTGAATGGGCTCACTTGTCGTCCGGCTGTGTGAAGCCGTTGGCAAGGTGCCATAGTGCGACGACAGGAGACCACTGCCTCCGCTAGAGGATCCCCCGGTACCGACTGTCGACGCGTCGAGGCCCCCGGCAGGCGGGGGCGGTGCTACTCGTTTTTTCAATGAGCCGTGAAAATTCATCGAAATGTCGGGCACGACGGGCGTCGGGACTACAAACAATCGTGTCATTGCTTTACGACCAAACAGCGAAGTGCGTAAATGGTCATATTTTCAAACATTAATCAACCAACAACAAAACAAGGCACTTAAAAGTAATAAATCATAATATTAATAAGTCATCAAACTAAGGTTGACGATTAACGATTTTTGTGGGCTGAAAGCTCATGCGCTGTTACAAGCAGCCGGGTGGCCACTGTCGTAATGAAGCTTTAGGAGCTCTGTTACTTAAGCTACAACTAGCGATGGAATTAGAATTTTGTAAAACTACGGATTTATGCTGCAGTTTCAAAACATGCATTGATTGCTGTAAGTGGCCACCTCAAAAATACTATAACTAAAGTTCTGTTAAACAGCTTTGAACAAAATGTATAAACTATTACAACTTGCATTTAAAAAAATTCATAAGCAACATTGTCGTTATTAAAATAAAAATAAAACTTTCGCTATCAATGAATAAAATAGAGTAGCTACATTAATCTATGAAAATTCTTAAAGAAGCTTATGTGTTGATTAGCAGTTTCACATTGGCATATTAGCAATAAACATGAGCACACACGAAAACAAGACTCGTGACTTTTCATAGATTTGTGTGCCATCAATCAACAATGGTATGCGTCTACACGAGGAAACAAGTATTTGACATGGTACATACCTATAACGGGTTTCTTCATTTGTGGTGGCAGAGGCGGTGGCATTTGTTCTTTGCTCGTGCAAAAGCCCGGCGACAAGCCACTTTGCAAACTATCGCAGGTACTACTTCGACTGCGCAGTGTGACCGGGGAATCCGTCACCCCCGTCTCTGTCCCACCTGCGTACGATGGTGGTCTGCTGCGAAGCTTTTTTTCCGGCGTCGAACAACCGTTCTGTGAAAAAATTTCATCAATTCGAGTTAGCTCATACGATAATTTGTAAGAGAAAAAAACACGCATAAATTTGTATTGACTAACTTTTTTTATCAAATAATTGTTGCAGCACAAAAATTCAATTGGTTAATAACATTTACATGAAATTACTCAAAGAGTGTCCGGGATACTTACTCTTTCCTCAATGATGGTTTCATCGTCAGAAAAGTCCGTTGAAGCTTCATCATGGGAAAGATTCCAATCGACGTTTACGTTGTCGAACAGCGTTTTTTGTCGCTGTAGGGCATGATTCAACTACACACAAAAAAAAAAAAAAAAAAAAAAAAAGGCATTAAATACCTAACTCACAGCTAATGCAATAGTATAAGAATAAAAACACCTACCAATTCTTGACACGTATGATGACCTACTTCTTGAGCGATATCAAGAGGAGTTTTTCCCTGTTTGTTGCGGAGGGTTGGATCGGCTCCTGCCTTAAGTAACAGTTTCATGGCCTCTGCTTTATCGTGCTTGGCCGAAAGGTGCAGTGCCGTATCTCCTTCCGTCGTGGTTTTGTCTATTGTGCCCGTCGGCATATTCTGAATCAGAAAGTCGACAATGTGCAAACTGTTGCCCATTTCACGCAGAATCGCCAAGTGAAGACCAGTTTCGCACAAATCCTGTGATCCATGTTAATTGATCATTAATATTAATTAATAGTCAAGAACAGTGTCAACAAAAATACTTGATTGATTTTTACCGATGTGGGTAAGCTAGCCGATAAATCTACGTTTTCCGCGCAAACTTGCAACAAATGATGCAAATCTCGGTTATTTACAGCATGCTCGAGATCCGACAGCAGATCTTGGTCGTTAACGCACGTCCGCTGTATGTACTTTTTATCTACATATTTGGCTCTAATGAATTCGTACCGTTCCTCCCTTAAAAATAATAGTAATATGGATTAATTTTTCTTTTTTTATTTCTAATTGCTGATTCTAATATCCGTGAAATAGAAAAATCCACGAGCTTACATTGTTGATGTGGGAGAAGGTTTAAAATTATGACGTAACATTGCTTCCATAACTTCGTTGAAAGCTTGATTCGACATGTACCGTGCTAACAATAACTGAGATGTGCCTATATTATCGAGCGTCAAAGATTGTATTCTGGATATATGCACACCCAGATCCCTGTGTATACCGCTACATTCTATACAAACGATTATTCCGAAGTTTGTCGACAGCCAAGTTGCATCTGTGAAACATTAAGTAAAAATAAAAAACTTGCCACCAATGAAGATCGTAAATGAAATAAATAATGTCAAGTACCGTTTTGCGATGAACAGTCACAGCACTTATCGTTACCAGGTAACCTCATAACACACCGTATAATGGCTTGTTGGAGCTCGACCAAACTAGGATTGCCATGATTCGCTTCCGGTTTGCCGCTAGCATCAAAAGCTCTCAATAAAGCACGCTCTTTACAGTTGACTAGGACGGACATCCACGCCCGCTGATCCGATTCGTCCTCCGCTTGAAAATGATAAGTTCTGTTGTCTGAAAGAAATGTAGTCAAATTTTATCTTTTGATATTGACGTCATTGCAAATAAAATTGAGGTGAAAAAAAAACCAGTAATTTCAATGATAACGTATGAATAACACTTACAACTTATAAGATCAAAGCTTCTTTTATCGTCAGGTACCAGTTTAATTTGGCACGTTAATAAATTCACCCTCGTCGGGGACTTGTTCTCGTCGGCATGACAGATGTTTAAATATCCTTCTGCCTGCACCGAACACTTTCGCTTCTGCCAAACTCGTCGCATTTTGCCTTCACTCTTTTTTAAGAGATGCCCGGTACGAGTAACACCGTGTTGCTTATCACCTTGCAACTGATGAAGCGAATAACCACTGCTAGCGTTTGTGTTCAACTGTTGAGGAAAAAAAAAAAAAAACAATGGTTGATTTCTATAAAAAAAGTTTGTGATCAATTTGAAAAGAACAATAGTGTACCTCTTTATCGCACCCAGAACTTTTTAGTAAACTCCTAAGTTCCATTAGGCGTTTTCTTTCTTCGTCTTGGGCCTGTCTGATTTTTTGCAGTTTCATGCTTACATCTACTACATAAGAACCAAAATGTTCTATTGTTTTCAGTCCGTCTTGAAAATAGCTGTCAAATGAACAGATGTTTGTAATAAACGTAATTAATTTTGAGCTTTTAGATTGTATTAACGTAAAAACATTAAATTTTTATTTACTTTGTTTGTGCGTGATAATATTCAACCAAATGTTGAAGAAGTTCTATTCCTTTTTTAGTTTTGATTTCGTTAACTTTAATTAAATACTAAAAGATAAACGTCGCTATTAGTAATGATTATGTCATTGGTGCAGGCTTGCACTACCATTGATAAAAAACGAATCTTACTTCACACATTTGCAATTGAAAAAGTCGCCTTTCTTTTTCCATTTCATCAGCAACTTCTGCCGCAGTAATTTCTGTACGAATGAGGCCAGCCTCTTTAGCATGTTGTTTTTTTTCTTTCTCGATTTTCGCGTACTTTGCTTCATAATCCTTCCAGGCTTTGTCAAAAGGTCTTTTGAGATCACCTTTAACTCCTTTCAAGTCACCTTTTAATACAGAGTCCAACGGAAACATTACTATATTACTAATGTTTTGCATCTAAAAATAAAGATTTGTCATTTGTTGCGCGCCATCCAATTAACGTAATAATTTTACGATTTAATTTCTTCAAAAAATTTACCAATGTTTTCATTAATGCACTTAATTCTTTGGTAACAACAGCAAATTTAAGAAATGCTGCACCAATGTCTGGTTCCTGTTCCTTGAGTGCAGCATCGCCCAATCTTTCAAGGGCTCTCCCCAAGTACATTTCATTGTCAACATGCGCTGCAAAAAATAAAGACATTAACTTTACATCAGCGATTTACACAATATTCATTAAAAATTTTCAATTAGTGAAAAACGTAACTAACCATTTCCGGAATTATAGATTGCTTTGATAGCTTTTTTAAGCTTTGTGAGTCCATCTCGATCAAAATCAAGAGTCTACAAAAAGATTGAAGTCAGACATGAGTGTAATAATTAATGTCTTCCACTGATACTAAATTTGTCAATTTCGTTTAATTAAATGTAGAATATAAGCAACTTATAAAATTAGAAAATTGCTGCTCATGAATGCAATGTGTGTATTGAGGCAATCTTGTAAATAATATACCTAGTGAGTAAATGGTATTACCATTTTCCATTTCTTAGTCAAAATTAGTTTTAGATTTATATCATCAAACGTGCATCTTATTTTTCAAACAAAGCAAAAAAGGAAAAAAAACGATTGGAAAAACTATTATTTTTAGTTAAATTTGTTTATTAATATTTATTTATTTACTAGAGAAGTTCATTAATAGGCTTGTGTGGTTAGCTAGTGATGGTAAAAAATTATGAGAGATAATAAATCGGAAGGTCAAAGAAAATTATTTAGTGGTCTATTTTTAAACGGTCCGTATTGTGCAAAAAATAGTGCGACATTGATAATTAAACGTATTTATCCATGAAATTGGCAATCTTCCGAAAACTGCCAAATCTCGGATGAGAAATATAAACAAACAGCAGTTATTTCATATATTTTCCGAGCCTGGAACAATTTAATGTTAAAGGTGAGTGATTAAGGAATAAAGAATTTTTAAACAAGCCAAAAAAGTATAATACACTGAAATGGTGTTTCAGCACCTCTACTTAACTCGATCACGTATCCATTACTTACAAAATAATAACTTTTGGCTAAGTTTCATAATTTTTAAGTTTAACTTTTATATAGTGCTAAATAAAATTTTTATAGCTTCTATGCGACTGATATAAAGTCACGTTGTTGGTTCGTAAAATTTTTCGCCGATTATTTTTTATGAACAAAGCTCGTATGTGGAAATGTACAGTCAAAACACTATAACAAGAACGATTGATTCGAGTTCGCAAAGAACTATATTTATCGAGCGGTATGTATTGGGACTGTGTAAAATCGATAAAAAAACGATCTTCATAGAACTATGAATTTTCTTACAATCTCTGACATTATTCATATGTTATTAAAAAAATTAAATTTATAGATTTTTGCTAACAAAATCGAAGGTTAGTGAAAAATGTAGCAGTTGATCAAAAATTATCAGCCAAGTGAATTGAATGCTCAATAATAATGTCAATTACATAATATACAATGTACGAAGAAATTTCCAAAGTTTATTTTTATGTCGTGCAAAAGAATTGGTTGAAAAAAAAAAAAAATAATTAGAGAAGAAGCGACAGGTTGATTATCATTGATATTTTCATATCATTATAATTTGAGGCTTAATTGCTCACTCACAATTTATTTATGTATTCGTCAGGCGCATATAAATTTGCAATGTATTAAAAGAAAAAATCGTTGCTTGTTTTGGAAAAACTATGAATCATGTTTAATTCAAAGTTGGATTTGACCTTGCTAAAAAATATCTAAAAATCTAATTAGTTGTATTCAATAACGAACGGAACAACAGTTTGCATGCATGTCCTCATATTCTATAGCAATCTTAAAATTTACAGTGAGGCTCTAAAAAGTTAACACGCCGCTACTTAGAAATTAGCTTCAACTAACTATCAAGTTGAAACTAGCAGACAAATTGCAGCAGCGATACCATCAAATAACAAATTCTACCTTGAGTACCCTTAAAACTAAGACAGAAGCCCCCCTTATTTAACTAAATTAGGAAGACACCTGGTCTAGTTTTGAGGGTAGCCCAAGTAAAATTTATTGTTTAACGGTATCGCTGCTGCAATTTATCTGCTAGTTTCAACTTCATCAACCAACTTAGTCATAAGTATAGGTACGTGACTTTCATCATACTTGTTATCATCTGCCTTCAAGCAAACATTTAAAAGAAATTAGAAAATAGAGCGTCAGGAATGTACACTCTAATATGCTGCTTCAAAGTACTTATACCTACTTATTTGTAATCCAAAAGTGAGTAATCAAGCACGCAATCTCAGCCAAAGAGATAAAACAAGAATTTTGATTTCAAAATAACAAATGAGCCATCAATGATAATTAATAAAAGCAGTGAGGAAAAAAAAAAAAAAAAAAATAAGAAAGAAAGAAAAACGGAGACGAAATCATAACAAAGAAAAAGAAAATTGAAACACCCACTGCACTGTATTCACGGCTCACCTCCTCGAGGGCGGCGATAGTCTGTCTGCACTGCGGCATCCTGGAAACGAAGGTCGACGTGGTCGGCGAGTTGTAGTCGCCTCTGGTCTCCTCGATAAAGTCGCTAATGGCGATGAGGCCTGGCATGTTATCGAGCTGCCTGTCTCGCGCGACCGGACGACCAGCTGCGCCTACGAACTCACCAAGGAACTCCTTGGCCGCTCCTTTCCTACGCAGAGACAGCGCTCCGGTATCGTAGATCCTCGGTTGGCGTCACACCACACCTGCACCTCCAGAGTTGCTTTTTTTCTCTTGCTCTTGCTCTCTCTGCCCCTTGGCACTTTAGAACCCAGGAGTAGAGGTGCTCGCGATAGTCGCGATGCAAACTGCTTATTGCTCGCTCGCTCTCGCCTACTCTCTATCTCTTTCTCTCGATATATATATATATTTATGTGTATCTCTCTTTCACTGAGCTGATGCGTCTCCTTGAACTTTTTTATGCAGCGCACCACCCTAGTATAAGTGCTCACAACAGCAGCAGCACCTGGAACGATGATGCTTTTTTTTTTCGAGATTGTAACACTAAGAATTCACATTTGTCACCAAACTTAGTGTAACATGTAATTGACAACAAAATCGTGACCTGCCCATTGGAGGCGTGCAGTACCCAGGTACCCAGTACAGTACCCACTGCTTAAAAACCTATACTTGTCTGTTTGAAACTAGCTATTTACCTAGTGCTTATATAGGTGTATACTGTATACGTAAAGGTATATAGTATAGCGACGCCACGATGAGCGACCATCAGGCCAGATGTCTCCCTCACTCATCTCCCCTTACCTCTCCCCGCGAGCCGAGCCAACAAGCCGCCAGCCAATAGAAAACGTGTGCATGGTTCCTCTGCTGGCCACGATGGATTGGCGCTCAAATCAGCGCCGAAACATATCGGCACACAATCTCCCTACTCATCTCTGGACATCTCTGGTTCTCTGATGGTACCGTCAGTCTGTGGCGCGTTGGCGTGGTGTATAGAATTAAGTTACGGAATACACCCCCCCCCCCAGAAATACTAAAAAGTTTGTACTCTTGAAATTAAGCACAAAACTGTACTTATGCTTGTAACTATAATTGCATGTTTTAGTGATTAAACATTTATTGATAACCTTTTGCTTCTTTAAAAATGTTTTGTCAAATACCATAAGTATTTGTTTCTCTTTTGTTCGTTTAGCGATGCCATCATATGCCGATTTGTATATTATGTTACCTATAGGTAGCGTCGGTAGGGTACAAATGTACCGATCACACATCAAACCTCAATAAATATAACACAATAGATTTGTTTGATTAACTGATCCAATAAATAGAAAATAAAGTTATCCATGAACTTGGTCTTTTGTGGCAGGATTTAAATTCTTTTACGACCCGAAAAAGGGCCCCCTGAAGAAATGTGCCCCTGCTTGCTAAAAAAAAAATTATTGCCGCAACTTTGCCTAACGATTATTTTTAATAAAATAGGTATGATCCTACCGATGCGACAATTTTCTGGCTCTTTAAGAGTAGAATAATTACCTTTTTTGACGCCTGTCTAACGCTTATCTTCAAGTACCTTATATAGAGTATAATCTTACATGAGTATTTACAGATAAACGTTAGATGGGAGTCAAAAAACGTTATTTTCTTCACTCTTAAAAAATCAGAATATTGCCGCAACGTATGTTGGATGCACAATTATTTAAATAAAAAACGATAGGTAAAGTTGCGGCAGTAATTTTTTTTGCACGGGGAGATACATTTTTTTGGAGAGACCATTTCCAGGTGGAATTGAATCCTGCCGCAAATGAAATGGCATTTTCCAACGGAAACTTTTTTATTTATTATCTATTGGATTAGGTTGTGGCTGGTATGTATGGATCAAATTGCATTTTTCATATTCCAATATAACCCGTGATCAAGAAATCATTTGCATTAGCTACGAATCATAACTTTCCTCAAAATTTGTAAAAGTTGCGGCAGGTATTTTTTATTCACACACCTTGGGCTTCATTTCGCTGTCAACCTCTCAAATAGATTTAACTCCACTTTGTTAGTTTTTTGTAGTTTAATCGAGAGGTTTGCACTGGCAGCCGAGAACTTTAAGCACGATTCTGAAATCTGAATTCTGAATTCAAACGGACGTCGGACGGTCGAACGCATGTCGGACGCGTATTTACCAGTCGGTAAGTGTTTTTTCGGGGGAAAAAAATTTCAATTAAGAATCGCGCGCGCGCGCAATTCATGTGCATGTAGATACCTATACCTATCTTATTATTCAGATTTCAGCATCACATCACGTCAAACGGTCCAAGCTTAACCAAACCAACACTGACCCGAGAGTCCCGAGACCCGAACCGTCGAGACGAGAGCGTCGTCTTCGAGAGTGTGAATACTCCGATTCCGAGACATCCTACAGTCTGTCTGCGACGTTGTTTTCCGCGTGTACTTCTTTAACCATCGGAAGAAAGAGAGAGTCAATAGTTGCGAAGAAGTCGAGGAGACAACTTTATTCGGATTGTGCGTACTAATTCAGGCTTGCACAGGTACTTGGTCTCAAAGCCATGGCCAACGTATCGCTCGACAAGGAGATCTTCTTCAGGCGCATCAAACGCCTGTACAGCGCTTGGAAGGTAGGCCGCGAGCTCGTGGGTTTTGCGGCGTTTCCTAACCGACAAATTAAGCCCATTCTAAGTATGCATTCGAGTATATCTTGTAGTTACATTCGCGGGTCATTCGTTCTTTCAGGATGGAGAGGCCGGTACGGGTGACAGCTTCAGCAAGGTGGACTGCATTGTCTCGATCGTCGGTGCCGACGAGGATGTCGTTTATAGCAAGTCCACTGCTCTACAGGTAGGCCTCTTTTCTTTTGCCAATACACCTGAACAGTTGGTTTAAAGGTCAAACTTTTTCTAGCTATTCTTTGACATTTGTACCAATTAAAGTAATAAGTTAATGAAACATTGAATCATCGAGTTAGTATTAATTATTCACAAAATCTCTTTGAAACCAGGCATGGGTTGTTGGATAATGTTTTGAAATTCGTAGCCTTTTGGGTATTCGCGTCTCTAACCTGCAATGTCCATGCCTGACTTGGAAGTGTTAGGTAGATTGTATTCTGTTTACTTAAAAATGTTCTAAAACCTAAATGAAATTATTCGTTGTTATTAAAATTTGGTTTTGTTAGATCAGCTTACGAAAATTATGTGCAGTCTTCATGTGTATTTTTATCTGAGTGTAGTTTAATCTGTGACTTTTATTTTATTAAATTCAATGTTATTTTTTTCAGACATGGCTAATCAATTACGAACTACCCGACACTGTGATGATTATGGCGGAAAACAACATCCACTTCCTTGCCAGCAAGAAAAAAATAGAGTTTCTGAGAAAACTTGAAGATGCAAAATCTGATGACACAGGAGTCCCCCCCGTTAAACTTCATATCAGAGACAGAGTATGTGTGAATTCACATTATATATTAAATGTTTCGTTAAAATCTTTTCAAATAGAAACTTGATTTATGGAAATTATTTGATGAAAATTTTTTTCTAGTCTGATGAAGACAAAGCTAATTTTGCCAAACTAATGGATGCCATCAAAGACAGTAAAAAAGGTAAAACAATTGGAATATTCGCCAAGGATAACTACAAGTCCAACTTTGCAGAAGCATGGAAAGCAGCTATCAAGAAAGAAAACTTTGACTCTGTGAGTAAATTCACTTTATCAGTATTTTACATTTGATTAAAGTGAGCAAATAATACTGATTTAATAAATTTTTTTAAAGGTTGATGTGAGTGCTGGTGTTGCCTATGTTATGGCTCCAAAAGAAGATTCGGAAATTCTTACAATTAAAAAAGCATGTTTAGTATCCGTTGATTTGTTTACTAAATATCTTAAAGATCAGATTTTGGAGATCATTGACAATGACAAAGTAAACTATTTCTACTTATAAAAGAGAGATTTTTGTTGTAACTGAAATAAATATTTTTTTTTTCCTTTTATAGAAAGTAAAACACGTAAAATTGGCGGATGGAGTTGACGCTGCCATCAATGATAAAAAATATGTTACCGGAGTTGATACTGCTCAAGTAGATATGTGCTATCCTGCTATTATTCAAAGTGGTGGCTCTTATTCTTTGAAGTTCAGTGCCGTTAGTGATAACAGTATACTCCATTTTGGTGTCATTATTTGCTCTTTAGGAGCTCGTTACAAGGGATATTGTTCAAACATTGTTAGGACTTTATTAGTCAATCCAACAAAAGCGATTGAAGAAAATTATAACTTCTTGCTTCAAGTTGAGGAAGAAATTTTGAAAAAATTAACTGCTGGCACTAAGTTGAGTGACGTGTATGAAGCTGCTCTCAAATTTGTCAAAGATGAAAAACCAAAAATGATGGACCATCTTACCAAAAATTTTGGATTTGCCATGGGTATTGAGTTTAGAGAAAGCTCTTTGCTTTTAGGACCTAAAACTAATTCTGTTGTTAAGAAAGGGATGGTATTTAATGTAAATGTTGGTCTTTCAAATCTTACCAACTCAGAAACAACAGAAAAAGAATCAAAGACATATGCTTTGTTCATCGGTGACACAGTTATAGTTAACGAGGTATTTAGCATTTCTATTTTTTTATAATTAAACTTATTACGTAAATATTATACCATTGAAATATTTTTAGGACCAACCAGCTTCTATACTAACCCCATCAAAGAAAAAAGTAAAAAACATCGGAATATTCCTTAAAGATGATGAAGAAGACGAAGAAGACAGTGGAAAGGAAAATGAACCAAAGCCTGAAATCCTTGGAAGAGGCAAAAGAACAGCTGTCATTGAGTCGAAGCTAAGAACTGAACATAGCTCTGAAGAAAAGAGAAAACAGCATCAAAAAGAATTAGCTCAACAACTTAATGAACAAGCCAAGGCTCGTCTTGCTCAACAATCCAGTGGCAAAGAAGAGGAAAAAATTCGTAAATCCACTGTTTCTTATAAAAGCATCAATAGCATGCCCACTGATTCAGAAGTTAAAGAACTGAAATTATTTGTTGGTAAGTTTTAAAATTTTCAAATATCTTAAACATCATTGAACAACAAACTGATTTAAAAAAATATATTTTATTATAGATAAGAAATACGAGACTGTAATTCTGCCTATTCATGGTGTACCAGTACCCTTTCACATTTCCACGATCAAAAATATTTCCCAATCTGTTGAAGGCGATTATACTTATCTTAGGATTAACTTTTTCCATCCCGGAGCAACTATGGGACGAAACGAGGGAGGCGTTTATCCTCAACCTGATGCGACATTTGTCAAAGAAGTGTTAGTACACGCGAATTTCACTTCACCGACGTATTATATAAAACTTTGTTTCATTTAAATTTCGTTTTACCAAATTTTGTAGAACCTATCGGAGCACAAATACAAAAGAGCCAGGTGAAATTTCGGCGCCATCGTCAAACTTGAACACTGCCTTCAGACTTATTAAAGAAGTACAAAAGAAATTTAAAAGTAGAGAGGCAGAAGAGCGTGAAAAGGAAGATCTTGTTAAACAAGATACCTTGGTTTTGTCGCAAAACAAAGGAAATCCCAGGTTAAAGGACCTGTACATCAGGCCAAATATTGTTAGCAAAAGAATGACAGGGGCACTCGAGGCACATACAAACGGATTCCGTTATACATCTGTCAGAGGCGACAAAGTCGACATCCTTTACAATAATATTAAAAATGCTTTCTTCCAACCTTGCGACGGCGAGATGATCATCTTGCTTCACTTCCATTTAAAAGTAGAATAAAAACTGATATCATTTTTATATGGTGTATGAGAATCGTGAGTCAACAACTTGATATTTTATTTCAGCATGCCATTATGTTTGGCAAGAAGAAGCATGTAGATGTGCAGTTTTACACAGAGGTGGGAGAAATCACCACAGACTTGGGTAAACATCAACACATGCACGATCGTGATGATCTAGCTGCCGAACAATCTGAAAGAGAGCTAAGACACAAATTGAAGACTGCCTTTAAAAGCTTCTGCGAAAAAGTAGAAACCATGACTAAGCAGGAAATTGAGTTTGATACGCCATTCAGAGAACTCGGTTTCCCTGGAGCGCCTTACAGAAGTACTGTTTTACTGCAGCCCACAAGTGGTTGTCTTGTAAACCTCGTTGAATGGGTATGTTGCGTTTGTCACATTATTTTACAATGCGACAATGTTCACTTGAAATTCATTAAAATTTGTTTCAGCCTCCATTTGTCATTACGCTTGAAGATGTTGAACTGGTACATTTTGAAAGAGTGCAGTTCCACTTGAAGAATTTTGATATGATTTTTGTATTTAAAAATTACCATCGCAAAGTAGCAATGGTAAATGCTATTCCCATGAACATGCTGGATCATGTTAAAGAATGGCTTAAGTAAGACGGTTAATTAGTAGTAAGAATCGAAAAATTTTGTTATTACGATCAAACATGTTTTTTTCTCTTATTTTTTAGCTCTTGCGATATCAGATACTCAGAGGGTGTCCAATCTTTAAATTGGACCAAAATTATGAAAACTATTACCGAAGACTCAGAAGGATTTTTCGAAAACGGTGGCTGGACTTTCTTAGACCCCGAGAGCGATGCTGAGGGTGAAGCAGAAGATGATGAGGATGAAGAGGAAGATGATGCTTATGAGGTACACACGATTAAGCCTTATACAGTACAGTAAACTTTTAACTTTAACTATTTACCAACTACGTTATATTTCAGCCGTCTGATTCTGGTGCTGAAGAAGATTCAGAAGACGATTCCGATTACTCAGAAGCATCTGAAGATTCCGACAGTGACGGTAATTAGTTTTCAAATATTTCTATCTACGTGAGTAATTTTGATATTTATATGATTAACTCGAATTACGAAATTTTTCAGGAGAAGAACTGGGAAGTTCGGAAGAATCTGGTAAAGATTGGTCGGATCTTGAAAGAGAAGCAGCTGAAGAGGATAAGGAAAAAGAAGTTGATTACGATGATTTTGGCAAGGTCAAAAACGACAAGCATTCTTCGAAAGATAGGTGTGTAAATGGTCAACGTACATAAAATTCTATTTGATTCAATCTCACTAACCAACACAACTTTTTATTTAAGGCATGCATCTAAACATAAAAGTTCTTCGAGTTCAAGGAGCAAAAGTTCGCATCATAGCAAGGATAAGGGCAGGTCGGATAGGCACAGGTAAGTCTATAAATTATTCAGAATTTGTTTTAAATCATGAATTGGCAGTGTTGTTGCAATTTATATAAAGTAACGTAGAATATAGTTTAAACAAAACTAAATGTGTCATTGTTAATGTGTTAATCATCTTTGATACTGAAAGTATGTATAACCATATTTTAAGATCGGATCGATCGAAGCATGAGAAGTCACATAAGAAAGTGTCATCTCCTTCAAAATCATCCAAACACAGGTGAAAATCGTCGACATTATTTGCTCTAACGATTGGTTTTAACGAATTCTTTTCGTAACTTTTTACAGCCCAAAAAAAAGCGACAAACACAGCAGTAGTAGCAGCAAACACAAATCATCACACTCGTCCAGCAATGACAAAAAGCGTTCTCGAGGCACCAGTTCTGACAGGCACAGCTCTAAAAAATCCAGGTAATATTATCATGTATAATTTATAATATAACTATAGTAGTCAACTAATTTTATTTTATGACTTTTTTTTATAGAAAATAAATTCAACGTGAACACCTAATACTTGCAAAAACACGTGAAAGCAACTAATACCTATGGTACAAGCAGACTTTCAATTCATATTTTTTATCATTGAATACGTGATTTTAATTTTTCTGCGTCAGTGTACAAGAATTCAATTAAGAAATTATCTTATCTTTCAAATAAAATCAGTGTCTACTGTTGTAACTTTAGGTTAAATATTTTTAAGTTTTCATTCAATCCAATGTCGCCTTGACTCACAGATATTTTTATAAGCTATTATTACGTAACGATAACAAATCATTAAGAGTAATCTCATTTGTAAGTTCCATATTGATTGCTAATATGTCATGTTTTTTTCACGAGAAATGTTGCATTGCACTATATTTTTAAATTACAGACTATTTTTTTAGTTAAAGAGAAAAGACAATGTACAGCTGTATTGAGGATTAGTGCAAACATTTACTAAATGATAGAAGAAAGTGAATTTTTATTTTTCAAGATTTGAGTGAACGTTTTTGTAGAATAACCCACAAACCGCCGAAAAGCAGACGTTTAAGTCTTGTATTATTAATCCTTTGTCAATTTTCGACTACTACATACCCTTGGTAAATTTTTGTATTTTTGGTTGCGTTCGATTTGCGTCGAGCGCTCGTACCGTACCACAGTCGGCTCGCAGTCCGCTTAATGCAAATCAAATGTGGTACCGTACGAGCGGTCGGCGCTAAATCGAACGCAACCATTTATACGAGTGTACAAGTAAAAATTACTGAACTCATTATAAATTTTGTATTATGTAGAAAACATTGTAACTTCAGAGATGCATAATACTTTAATGGTAGTTTTTCTACGAGTTTGAAAAGTCTCTGTTTGCGAACCGAGAGGTTTGCGGCCCGAGCCGAAGGCGAGGGACGTAACGAGGTTCGTAAAGGAGACTTTTCGAACGAGTTCCGGAAAACTGCTTTTTCGCCCGAGGAAGTACCAGCCTTCCAAAACCACCCGAGGGCGGAAAAAAAATTTACTCTCGTACATTATTTTAACATACGTTTCTTAAAAACAACACCCTTTTATTTTTATTTAAAAAAAAGTAAAGAAACGTAATCCACGTGAATTAAAATATAAGACAAAATCGAGCTGTAGGTACTTATTGTGCAGAAAGCAACGTGTTCGTTTCGCAATTCAAAAACACGATAATCAGCGAAGAAGAGTCGCGCAGCGGGTAGTGTGGGAATATCTATCAAAAGTGAAAGTGCACGTCAGCGCGGTCACGTCCGCGCTTTCTCCTTGTTTTGTTTTTGTGTCACCAATTATACATGCTATATTCGTGAAAAAAATATTTGCGTCTTTAAGCCAATTCAATTGAAATTGAAAAAAAAAAAAATGCATACTTGTCATTTGCAAACTAATTTGCGTCGAATGCTTTTGACACACGAGTGTCTTTTTTTATACTTAACTGAAATTGATCATTTTATTTTCTACTACTCCTAATTTAAGAGTTCAATTTAGTTACAATACATGCACATGAGTTATTATTTAAAATGATTAATCCTATTTGTAACACATACGATTATTTTCATCAAAATAAACAACATATTAATTAAAGTAAAAAAATATCACTTTATTCACGTTACGAATATACAAAAATAAGCGAACAAACTATTACTTATGAGTAAGGTAGGGCACGTCGTGCGGTGCCACTTTGTAGTTGGTAACGAGATACATCATCATGATCATCATAATCGTCAATGCACTTAATTTTTGCCGATTTGGTCGATCTGGCCCTGGAGGTTGTTCACGACCTCAACCGGCACGTGTTCACCGAGAATCTCGAGGAGGTTGATCCTCTGGTTACCAGGGATGGATTCGTAGGCAGCGAGCTCGATGCCCTCCTGGACGTTCTGGATGTAGGCATCTTTGGGAATCAGGGAGGTCTGCTGGGCCTGTCTGATGGCTTCATTGCTGAAACGCTGACCATCCTTTTGCTGCGGGTAGGCCGTGGCAACGGCGATTAGAGCAAAAAGTGCGACGATGGCTTTCATGATTATTTCTGCGTAAAGAATAAGTAACAGATTCGTCATTTTATTCAGTTGTACGTGGTACATCTCTAATTGTGTCATATAGATGGACTAGAATAAGTGATGCAAAGAAAGACCCTGTTTTAATATGTCTCCGTAATTATTATAAGTATAAGCCTGACTGACGTAGCATGTCGAAAGTGTCACGATTGAGCAAACTCACTGTGTATACTTGCATGTAACTCACAACTTACACAAAGTATAATGAGAGTATTAGGTGCCATTATGTGACGTTCGCCTCTGCTCCGTTTAGTTATATTTTTTTACCCTTTTATTTATACGTGCTTATCCGAGCAGTGTGCTTGTGAAACCTCTGCAGAGATCGTTTTTTTTTTTTTTTTGTTTTTTTCTTGTCCAGTAAATTAAATGCATAAGTGACTTCTTACGCCTTTTCATATAGTTCATATAGAAGTACTAAAAAAATAATTGTTTAGGGCTTCTTGTTGCGCAAGAGTACATATGTAATACCCTTTTCTTGGATGATTGATGGTACGAATTTTTGAATAATACGAGTATACGATAGTATAGTTTTCAACACGTTTTTACTTGTATCGATGGCGTTCTATTGCTGCTTTGGACTTCTCCAAAGACGAAAAATCATCTCAAGATTGTTGAAAGAGAAAGAGGTCAAGCTCTGAAAAAGGCGCAGTGTTGTTGTGTCCCCGTTATATATTATTATACATATATATATGTACTCTCCTTTTCGCGAGTATGTATACATCGACATGTCCGTGTTCGGTATTCGTTGGTCGCCGAAAGTTTCTCACGAACGACGCGCCCGCCGGCACTTTCCCTTGGCCGATTCACGTTGTGCTAAAAGTTAAGTGTATTCCCCTCGGCTCTGTATGTATAAATATATACACGCACGGCGACCACCGAGGAAGAGATCTCCGACGCGCTCGTAAAACGATTTCCCTTTCCGCGGCCGATTTTTTGCGACAACGCTTTTCCTCCGTTCGATGTACGCGCGCGTGCATTGCAAACGATACGCTTATATAATTATCCAAGCACGTATCGTGTGGTAATTTTACATACTGGTGTATTGAAATTGATTAGTTTTGCGCACAATAATTTTCTTTTTTTTTTTTTTTTTTTTTTTTTTAATTACAGGAAATGAAAATTTTATCGCGTATGATTTTGATCTCCGAGATGTATGTACAATGCATTAATTTACATCGCAAACGTAAGTTGGCGCTTTTACTTTGTAAAATTTTCAAAATCCACTCGAGCGTTTGATTCGTTAATTACTTGTTCAGGTGCTTGAAACGCAATTCCTTCCAAGTGATCGAGTGGGTTGAAATCACGCGGAAAAACATTATAGTTAAATGTACTACAACAACGAACTTGGGATTCAAGGTAGATCGAGTAAAAAGGAAAAATGCCGATTGTTATTCCAAAATTCAATCCGATCGGTACCCGTGGAAACGATTAAAAGTAACAAACAAAAATGAAAAATTCCAATGAGGATCCACTTGACGAGAAATCAAAGGACACAATAAGAGCAAAACCGGTGTGGTACTCACTTGGCGAGACTCGGGCAGGCGGAACGATCGGTTGGACGGATACTAGACACGAGACCGTCCGCGGGGACGGCTTTTATATACCGCGGCTGGTTTCTCTCTCTCGGATCTTCGCGATGTGTCTTTTTGAAAGTGTGAGAGAGAGTGAGATGAGCCGATCTGTATCTCCATCAGGTCTCGCCTTGCGCCCCTTTTTTTTTCTCAATTTGCTCGCGCACACGCTGTCATTTATATCATCCTGGTGTAAGTAAGTACGTGCTCTTGCATGCTTCGGGACGCAAAAATGTTTAACTCTAATACAAGTGTCGACAAATCCCAGTTACTTATGAGAGGGATACAAGGATATAGTTGGAATCACTTGGCTCTCGTATCATCCGAGTTGCACATTTTTTTTATCAAATAATGAATTAACGAACTAATGATCGTTCATCGAGACTGTGTTGAACTGATTCCCTTTTTTTTTTTTTTTTTTTTTTTTAAAGGATCATGCATATTTATATTTACGTACATTGCGTGGAGAACTCGATAGGGTTGAAAGATTCATGTTAGAAAGCAGATAGGACCTCAATTTCAATACGAACGTCGTGTTTACAATTCAGTCAAGATGTAAAAGATTATAATACATAATAATATATGTACACACGAAATATCGTGATGAACAGCCATACATATAATAAACATTATACCTGTTCTCCGAGGAGTACCTATTCAGAAAATGAAAGTGGCCTGATTTTTGATTAGTCATTCATCATCATTTTTCAATTTGATGGCGATTTACTCGTACATGTAGCCTCCATACGTATGTATATAATACTCATATGATTACTCTATCGGAGATTTCATAACATCAGACAAAAAACAAGATTTACTTGAGATGTTTTTTGTTTGGGTAAGAAGCTATATCTATCATGCATGTGATTTATTTTTTATATCTTGGATGTATATCGCTGTTTTCTCTGTAATTTTGTTTGTACATATAGGCGTGATGGAAAAACAAAAAATTAATTCTCATCCATCCAAAATAATATAACCGTAAGTACTGCTCCTTGAAAAATTTCGAGTTGGCGCAACTTTCGGCTGCGATCACTTTTTAAAACGAAAATCAGAATACAAGTTGAAAAATTTATTTAATCTGGAACCAAAACCATGAGTAATTGTATATTTAGTTAATAAATTAAATTTTTTTCCCCAATTTGCATCTAAAATAACGTCATGAAAATTCTTCTTGGATCTGTTTATTTATTTTTTTATTTTTAAATAAGTATAAATACTTGCAAACAGACAGTTTGAAACTTTTCGAATGTTGAGAAATCAAAATTTCCTTGTAACATATTTGCGCCTATTGATAATGTAAATTTACGAGGTACTTTGAATTTTGGAATCTGAAAGAAAGCTTTTCCAACATTAGCGCTATCCCTTACCCACATTGTGGTGAACATTCGAAGCTCTTGAGTTCAAAACCTTATTCTCGCAGGGTACTTACGTTTTTTTTAGTGATTAATTCTCGAGGATTAGTAGTTTTTTTGCGATCGGTTCGTCGTTGCTACCGACGTTAGGGGGTGGTGTTGTGTTAACTTTTTTTCAGTTTAATAAAAAGTCTATTATAATCGAAAAAAAAGATACGCAATGCCACCTTTCGTATTGCAGCGTGACATATCACTATAGCAGGTTACATCTCTGATTGGTCGAAATCGACTGTATCCGATAATCCGATTGTGTATTATCGCCGACGCGCCCCCACTCCCATAGACGTATAAAAAATATAGACTGCTCGTTCTTATGTACGGCGCTGAAGCTGAAGCACGAGTAGGAGACACAACATCGAACGTGGGTACCTGGCCCACTTTTGACAATGTACGAGAGAGACAGATACCCACGTTAGATGTTGTGTCTCCTTCTACTTGTGCTTCAGCACCGGACAAAAGAACGAGCAGTCTATATTTCTTATATGTCTATGCGCGCTCCTTGATCCACAATTAGGGGTCATGCGTCCGATTTTTAATTTCGTTCTGTTTTTTTTTTTTTTTTTTTTTTTTTTTTTTTTTTTTTTTTTTTCATTTTTGTACCAATTAGTTCTTTTCCACAAGTGAAAAGACAGGCAAAGTTGGTAAATTTGGCCCCTCTGGGCAGATGAGCTTTTGTTTTGAACTTAATACAAAAAGTGACAAAAATAAAAAAAACACGATGTAAACCGAACGGAACAAAAATGAAACGAATGAACTGAAAATTGGCATCACGCAATTGCGGAATGTAAAGGGCTTGAGGTTAAGTTTATTCCCTACTGGATACGGAAAAATGGAATGGTAGTTTATACACTCGGCACACACACTCGCACACTCCAATTGTTTGTAATTGTAACCAAAGCGTTTGCGTCAGTTGCGTGTGCCTTTTCCTCTTCGCAGATCGCAGATTCGCCTCAATCGCCTCTAGCTCATTGGTGTGAAAGAGAAGGAAAAAGAATGTTAAAAGTACGTTACTACGTTAGCACATTTTTATAGTATTACATGCGTATATTGTACATGTATGCGGGAATTCCATAGAAGAGTGTTACGTGTTAGAGGAGACAGCATACACACACATTACATTGTTGCATAGAGAGAACAAGAACCAAACGGGTGTAGCGCTAAAGTTAAAGTTAAAAAAGAGAGCCCAGAGGAGTAAGAGGAGATGCCCGGCTTCAAGAATTGCTGCTGCTGCTGAAGCTCACATTTGTAAGATATTTAGATCTCGGGTGGCGTTACAAGGCTACCCGGCATTCTCGCGTGTGCATCATACGCGCGCAAAAGACGAGAGAGACGAGACTCCAAGAGGTTAGTGCGTAAGTACGGAATAATCGACCATCCCCAACCCAATCTTCGTCCTCACGCCCGGCCTGTGAAATTATTTCCTGCCTGTCGGCCCGCACTTATTTTTGTTTAATTTTGTTTCGTCTGTCCTGTATGTGTTGTTTGCATTGTATACCCCAAACCAATATAGGTATAGTTGATTTATCTCATTAGTATACTTGCATATACACATACGCCTCACCCCATCTTACGCGCACGATACGTTTTGTGCATTTCGGCTCTTTTTCTGTATGAGAGAACGCGCGCGCGCGCGCTCGTGCAGCCAGAAATCAAGGAATGAGCCGATTGAGAAGAGAAAAATAGAGGGAAGAAAATGGGATGTAGTTGTAAGACCCGGCCCGGGTGTCCGATCGCCACACACAAGCTATAAGTACTCATCTAGCCGGCGTCAAGTCGAGAGCAGTTCCTCTTTTTTTCTTTTTTTTTTTCTTTGGTTTCTACTAGCTTTAAAGAACTTGCAGTATTATACTTGAACACACATCCTTGTTTGTTCGTTCATTTGTATCAATCCAAGTTTCCTCTTTCTAGCTGCTCTAGTTGAACGCGCTTTTTGTAAGTACAGGCTCTTGAATTAAAACGAGTGTTCTCTCGGCTATTTTCTCTTTTTCTGTATAGTACAGGTGTATAAATCGAGGAACGGGAAGCAAGCGACGAGGCCCAGGGTTCCGTCGAGGCTCATTTGTGTTTGATGGCCTCGATGTATCTGTGTGTTGTAAATACATACACAACTACGTGTTTTTCTTCCGAAAAACTGTTCGTCTGATATAAGTAGAGAAATCGAATAAAAATTTGATGAGTCGTACTTAAGAATTTGAGTTGGCTGTGTGTAAGTATACGGCAATCGGCAGTAAAAACTACGTGTAGCATTGGTGTTTGTTTAGTACAAACTGCCCTGCTCTCTTCTCTCTCGTGTACGGTATACATAAGTTGATAACAATATGAGCATTTATTGTTTGTTCATTAGTTTCATTTGCTTCACTAAATTCGTCGAAAATAGATTAGCCGCGAATATACTTTGATTTTTCTTTTAAAGGCCTTTCATATGTTTGTCAACACAGTTATATTGAATATAGAAACTACAGGAGCACCCTAATTAGTTTCAATTTACCTTTAGGTATCTTACAAACTATAGATTAATAAGGTTTTTGTTTTTTGTCAATAGGTAATCTGAAGTGTCAGGTTAAATTAACTTTTCAAGCTGTGAATTGAACTGACTACTACGAAAATGTCATCGTCATTGGAGACGCTCAGTGATTCTGAGCTACGCACAAAACTTATAGAACATGGATATAAAGTTGGACCTGTTACACACACGACAAGAAAAATTCTACTCAAGAAACTCAAAATGCTCATGGATGATAAAACTGGAGCTAGATTCTCCATGGCCTCTGCCAAGTATGATGATATGTTTGATTACTATGATTCAATTAATATCTTAGACGTTAGCTAGCTTTAAATATTTTGGTTATTTGTAGGTATAGCAGCGACGACACCGATGACGACACATTGTCAGCAGCAAAAAAAAAGAAAAAAACGCCGGTAAGCACTCGAAGGCAAACAATGGTAACCACTATGCCACCGCCAGCAACAACTGCCTCACCATCAAGATCGCAAACAAAGAAACGATTGACAAGGAATTTAAATGCCGCTGATTATGAAATATCGGATAATGAAGGCCCAAGTTTACCCGTGCGTTCATTATCCAAAGAAAAGACTCCTGAAATAGTCAACAAATCACCTATCAAACAAAAACTAAGAGATGACTTTGATATAGATTTGGATTCAGACAATTTAGATGATGAATCAAAGAAAACGCCCATTATTGTTCCCAAATTCGGTGGTGGTACTACAAAAGTATACAATGATACAAGCAATTTTACAGCTGCAGATGTTAATTCACCTAAATCGTATGAATCCAATTGGAGGATAGGAAGAACATACGAAACCTCGAATTATCATACAAACACACCTACTAGTACATTGACAAAGGATGAAAGATATACTGTCAATTTACCAAAACCCAGTATAAGTGCCAACTCTAGCCGAGACGATTCGCTCTTGTCAAAAGAAACTACAAAGAAAGATGATATCTTGGCTAATTATGATTCACCTTACCTGTCTGAATTCACACGTAGATTAAGCTCTACGAGTGCAACTCTATCGAAACCTTCAATAAAAGGTAAGTTGACAAATATTTTGTTCAATAACAGATGCTTTATTTATTGCTCAATAAGAAAAAAACTCATGTCCTCCAACAATTGAATTATTTTTCTAGTTGGACCCAAATACCGGCTTTCTAGCATAAGTGGTACACCAGAAGTCAAAGAAACTGACACCAATGGACATTATACAACTTATACCTCACCAAGAACATATCCTTCCAGTTCTAGGTTATTATTTGACTTTTAATATTCCTGATATTTGTCCTTTAAAAAAGTGAATACTTGAAGTTAAATTTTTTTTTCAGTATGACATATGTTACATCTTCTATTGATAAAACCCAACGCGATGGCAACAAGGCTTACAAGTCGGCGTCACTTTTACAACGAGAAGAAGTCAAAAACAGTCAAAATATGATTTCAATGATTCTTTTAGCGGTTGTAGTTTTGTTTTTTGGTATCATTTCCATTGCTTATTTGGGGCTTGAAGCGAAAACTGAATTTCCTCTATCGACTGGTACGTAATTTTATTCAAATGTTCCAGGTCTTATTATTTCAACTTTGCTGTACCTTTATCAATCAATTAATTACACTTACTCTTATTATTAAAAGTAATTTTTTCATAATGAGTAACCCAGTTAGGAATAGGTTTTATTATAAAAAAATAATAATGCAGAATTTTTTTGATTCACAACGTTTATCATGCATTATTTCAGTTGAAAATTTTTAGTAAATTTCAAATATACAATATTTTTGATAACTAACACAATATAGTAACACTAATGTACTTATTCGGTTTAAGATTTAATATTTGGATAAAAGTGCTTGTGTTTAAATGAATAAAATGTTAATGTTTGAAAAATATGCTATTATTTAAAGATTGACATTTCCCTCAAAAATCCTAATTATTCACGCCACTACAAAAAAACTCTTACTAAACTTGTTTCAATTAAAGGTGAGACAATTTAATTATAAAGCAACTGTTTATAATTCTAAAATTTAATGTGATGATTTGTAAAAGTACAGCATAGACGACCTAGATTAAGTTAAAAAAAAAAAAAAAAAAAAAAAAAATTTCATACCTGTATACACGAGGACGCACGTAACGCACTCGCCTTTCACGCCAACAGCGACGGTGTAAGACGAATGTATCTACAAAAAGGTTTCTTCCACCATATACTGCGCCTATTCGCTCCGTGACAATAATTTTTACAGCCCGATGTACTGTAAAAGTGGGCGATCCGAAAGCACGGAAGTCGGTTATTTCTCGAGGAGCACGCGGGGATGGACCTGCGCGCAGGTAAAATGTAAAAGCATATAGCCAGAAAAGCCATAAAACGCATCGGCTGCAAATGCGCGTCATC